AGCTGTTAAACGCTCCCACAAAATTGCTGTCGAGATGTGTATACACGTCTATGTAAGTGGTACATGGCTTAAAATGTGTTTCCTTTATTTATAGATGTATACATGTTGACGTTTTCTAGATAATATATTTACACTATATATATATATAGTATATATATGTATATATTATACGCACGCGGACCCATGCACGCACGTACGCACTTTTTATAATCATTCAGTAAATTATTATAAACATAGCTTGAAAATATTGAATCTCATTGTAAGTGAAACTCAACCAATCGTGGGATCTTTTTGTATCAATGTATGTTAAATTTGTATTTATCACCCTGTTGGTGTTTTGGATCCTGGTTGGCAGATTTCACAGGTGCTTTTATATTTCAGCAAGGTGTACAGTATTCCCATGTTTGTTGTGAAAGTTTATATGGTTACCCACTTTCCTATTTATTTTTTTAGTGGGTGAAACCTCAGTAAACAAGAGCCGTTTTGAAATATTAAAACCTTAGACAAATTGAGAAAAAGTTTTTTTTAGCATGATAAGGTAGGTAAAAGGACATGCAGTGATAAAAGCAAATGATCTGCTATAAGCTTTATACTAGGATAAATATTTTGTATGGACTCCTTTAGACGGGAATTTTTTTTATAGTTTTAGTGTGACATTGTGTCCTTCTACCGAAATGAACACGTCAGGTAATAAAACATAAAATGCGTCATGACAAAACCCACCTCGTTTTACCAATGTTTTACTTGCCTGAAATCGCTGTGATAATAACTGATGAGACAGTGCATCTCCCCCCCCCTGCGCGCGTCTTGCCGACATCTCTACAGCGGCAACGCAAGGTTGCTGCTCGCTAACAAGTGCCGCTGACTGCCCGCACCAACCCGGATACGCCCCCTGGCGAGCGGAGCGACCTGTAGCGACATCTGCTGGTAAAGCGAGTAAGACGGCTGCGGTAGCGCTGCGGCGGCGAGACCGCGGCAAAGCGCCTGCGGCGGCCGCTGTGCCGCACCCGTATAGTTGAACAAGAACTCGCGGCGCGGCCGCGGCGCGTAGAAAAACACAGCGTCATCATCGCCGCCGCCACCGTCGTCGTCGTCGTCGTCGTCGAACCCGTACAGACGGTACGACCTCGGCGGAGGGCGTCGCCTCTGCTGCGCTGCTGCTGCTGCTGCTGCCGCGCGGTCGTCGGCCGTGCGGCGGCGTCGCCGCGCAATCGTGACCTTGATGCCGAGGTCGGGGTCGTGCACCGTCTCCTTGATGGCGAGATCCATCGCGTCGTCGGCATACGACTCGAGCGACGGGCTCGGTTCGTGCGGTGGCGCCACCTGCTTCTCGATCTCGCGCAGCAGCTCGCTACCGCTGCGCCGGTCCGCCGCCAATGCGTCGACGGGCGTCCCAGCGGGGCGCGAGCGCGGCGGCGGTAGCACTGGCAGACGCAGGGCGAGCGCGTCGCCGAACATCTCTGACAGCTCGCGGTAGACGTCGGCCATCGACTTAGCGTCGGCCGACTCGTCCCTCGTCGCGAGCAACCCGGCTCCGCGATCCGCGCCGGCCATCGTCGTTGTCGCCGCCGCCGCCGCCAAGCTAGTGTCGATGGTGAGGGGCGCAAATCCCACACCGACGACAGGACTCGCAACGAATGCAGGATTCGAGTCCGGCTCGATTTTCACCGAAACGATGGCAGATGTGTCCGGGGTTGTATCCATGGTGACGCTACGTTCCGGGACTTTGTGCGCGGTTTCCTGCACTGGTAGATTCTTCGTAATGGCGGGTGGTGGCAGAGGTGTAGGTGCTGTTGCTTTCAGTTTGCTTGAAGAAAGCGTTTTTATTTTATGCCTCAGAATGATCTCTGCTGCCAGCTGAAAGCAAACAACGAATCATTTGTTTTTTCTATTTTTTTAATCAAACCTGCCACTGTATCACTGTATACCCCGCGACGAAGTCGGCAGGGATACTATATATATGGTTTCACGTCTGTCCAGCCGCACGCCGCCGCCGCCGCAGACACTTTCCCTTCCGCTCTATAACTCGACCCTTAATTGACCTAGCGCGACCCAACTTGGTATACTTACACATCTTGGGGAGAAGGTGTGCCGCATACCAAAACCAGGCCACTGCAACCTTTATTTGACATTGACCTTGATCATATTTCCCTTCCGCTCTATAACTCCGCCCCTAATTGACCTAGCACGACCAAACTTGGTATACTTACACATCTTGGGGAGAATGTGTGTCGCGTTACCAAAACCAGGTCACTGCGACTTTTATTTGAACTTCATCATATTTCCCTTCCACGCTATAACTCTGCCCCTAATTGACCTAGCGCGACCAAACTTGGTATACTTACACATCTCGGGGAGAAGGTGTGTTGCGTACCAAAACCAGGTCACTGCGACCTTTATTTGACCTTGCCCTTTACCTTGATAATATTTCCCTTCCGCTTATAATATTTCATTCATACTAGATCGCGGGGGATACATGTAGTTGGCGACAACTGCCATTTCTATTTACATTATGGTTCGGCATCAGCAGAGAACGGAATACTTCATAGCAATACCATAGGTAGTTATAGGTACACATTACATGGCACTATCATAACAAGTAAACAATAAAAATTAAAAAACTATTGACAGAAATTGTAAATCTATTAAGTGCGGAATAGGAATGATGCCAAGTAGTGCTATCTGTTGTGAGTGGAAGTCATTCTGCTTTGCTGCATACCTGTGCATTTCAATGACTTACAGAGTCAGTACAGGCATCTCATAAATATAGCAGTCGACGTGGAAATGCAGTGCCAGCTAGAAAATTATCTGTCAACCTTTTTGCTACTCACCAGCAGAGCCCCATATACTGTTCTTGCATTCGATGTAATCTCGTGTTTTGCAGAACTAGTATCATCCACAATGCCTTGCAGGTATTGCCAGTATGTGGGCATGAAAGGAAGCAATGATTCATCCAACGTCTGAAATTAAATTGATCAGTGTTTAGAGAGATAAACGAGTTTTCAATTTAGAAATCAAATGTCTCAATAGCCTTTTCTTTATTGATCAAATTAAGGCTTAAATAAACTTCAGGATGCATACAGACATATATTTCTTTGTGAATTTCGAAACGTGTGCCTTTCTCTACAAATGCAAATATAAAATATTATTCTGAGTCAAATTCAAAATAATTGATTAATAATTGATAATTAAGCAATAATTATTTGAATCACCTCATGTCCAAACGCGATGAGGGCCATGATGGCGCCATAATGCACGGGAAGAGGTCGAGAAAAATCACGGAGCGTGTCCAACAGACCTTTCACTGTGTGCTGTCGCAGTCTGTTTACAGGTGTGTGCCACCGCCTAGAACACAGTGTGAAACAAACTTGTGATTCAGTAATTTTCGATATGAAAATATGAAGTGCCGCAATTCTTTTACGATGACATCCTATCTTACTTGATAAGCCACTTAATGTGCAGAAAAAACGCAATCAGTTCATGTCAAATAAACCGATTTATCTCTATCGAGCCAAAATAGTAGAAATTTGATTATTGTACCAACTAAAAAGTAGTATATTGGAATGTGTTGTGTTAGAAGTAGAAACTGTAATGTGATTCATCAGTATGTCTTTGCTAGACTTAGTTCTCACTATTGGTTTGCAAGTTAATTAACTGTTAAGACAAAAATCACTGTTAGAAATACAATTTGCAATCAATAATAACAGCTACTAATTGATATGCCCATGAAATAATATCTGGTTGCAACTCTACACCCGATCAGGTCGTCAAACAATATGAACTCGGCTCAAAACTAACCAACTATTGTAACCAAACGTTCAGCCTTGCACTGTGCAAATAGTTGTACCTTACTACTTCAGCGAGAAGCAGAGCAGCTTGATCTCGCAATATCCAGTGGTCACCCGTGAGATTCGTACTGGTAGCCGGTGGCTCAACCACCACACACAGCTTCACTGACTGCGTCAACACCTGCAACTGCACACAACCATTTATTTTTATTATACAGACTGGGTCCATGACTAGCACTCTTGCAGAGTACTTTAGGATAGTTAGGCCTCCACATGCTCCTGTTCCTGCTTCAGAGAGATAAAGAGTCTGTTTTAATTTGGATATCCTGCAGACATTGTTAACACTAACAACAGCTTCACCTGCACAACAGTGATAAGCTTCGCTAAGCAAAGCCTGTCAACGATTGAGAGCAACACAGTTGGGAAAGCTCTATATGTTCTATGATTGCAGTCGAAAGGAAAAAACAGAGTGGTAGTGCTAAGCAGAACCATCTTTTCCAAAACTATCCCACAACAAGTGGCAAGCACAGAGGCACGTGTTTAGATATGTGCAGAGCTGACGTTTACTCACATAAGGTTTTGGTGCAAAGTAGAGCGCTGCGTTTCGTATCAGCGCGCGCATGACATTGAGCAGCTTGCTGAGCCTCACAAGGTCGTGGCCCGCCGCCTTCACTCCACAACTCACAAAGTTAATCAAGTATGGCAGCAACGAAGATATGTTGCCGTTACTACGTAAGTCCTTCAGCGCCACCTAGAGGAGGGAGAAAAAGAAAACATAAAATATTTTAGAAGGTAGTGAAATGGTTTATTAGCAACTTGCACAATACTATACCAACTTTCCAACCGTGATGTGCTAGTGAAATAATCAGTATATGACTATCTGGCTTCAACTATATATCATCTGGAATACATGTATGTTGTCAATACAGGTAAATTGAATGAAAATTCCTCATGATATATATAATATTGCTCGTTTACTTTTTAACGACCATGTAACTGCCAACCACAATTCCCGATGATAGTTAGTAAGATGTACTTAAATATTTACTCGATGGCCAGTTTAATAACTGAGCTGTTTGTTAAGGTCAAACAAGTTGTAAGCACCTGCACCCAAGGTTACAATAACCAACAGATAGCGAGTCAATGCCCATTTACAGTGGCGTATCCAGAAATGGATGAACAGGGGAGCGAAATGTACCTGGGCTGCCGAAGACAACCCCGCGGGCACGCAAATTTTGAAATATTTAAGCCATTTTCCTGCAATCTGAGGCATACTGTGGGCCATATTCTGATGTCTGATGACACTATCTCAACCCTAGACTCAACCCTACAATTTAGGATTTAAAACACTTCATGACTTTTTTTTCTGGGCTTGCAAATGGGGGGGGGGCGTATGTTACTGCATTTACACGTGGATAAATTGACTATAAACAGAATAATTGTACAATTGAATTACATTGTAATATAGATTATTTTCCCTGCTAAAACCTAATTACCTGCGTGATTTCAGAGTCATCGCTCAGTATTGCGTTTGTTACGTTTTCATAGTAAAGTAGAAGATGTGGAGAAAGGGCTTTCTGTACATGTCCATTTATATTTCCTGCAGGGTAAAATAGGAACTCATGTTAACACACAAAAGCTTCTAAAGTGTCCACTACCTTCTTCATAAACGCTGAATATGTTTCTGTGTAAGACTTTGCTTCAAAATGGCCTGATAATAAATGATAAGGCCCGTAGCCAGGGGGGGTTCGGGGGGTTCACACAAAAACCCCCCACCCGAGCAAAAAAAAACGGAAAAAAGAGGTCCGCGATGTGCCGTGTGTGTGATAAATAACCAACAATTTTTCAGGGAAAAAGTTGACTGAAAAGGGAAATTACGGAGGGCAGGGCAGGGGGGGGGAGGAGCCTGGGTCGCGGCACGGCTCTGGATATGATGCATGCAACGCGCTCGCACCGGCCATCAACCAAGTGCTGCTGCAACCACACGATGTAGGTCTATCCGGCGAAAGAGAGAAGTGGGTGACCGTGAGTGTGACAATTCTTCAATTTTAAGTCGTATTTTTCCGCCTTCACGGAAGCAACTCAAGCAGTGGTAAGTCTGTGAAAATTGATTGATATGTTTGATATTCTGTATCTTGTCTTCAATTCCTTTAATAAACTGCGGGAAAACAACGTCAATTATTCAATTGACAATGTTTTGTTCCGCCGTGCTCAGGTGCTGTGTCCGAATTCGGAAACTTAAGTTACGGCAATCACCGATTTCGGAGACGCATGATGATGCATAATATATTTATTATTTGTAACACCTGAGGAGCAAGTGATGAGTGATAAGCTAAACTATCACTCAATGTTTTTAGGTGTGCAGGAATGAGCAAAGGGGGAAGACTTCAGAAAATACCCTCTGGCTTCCAGTCTGCAAAATTATTTTCTTTTCCGATCGTTTTCATGATAACGCATTAACTCCACAAGCATTTCCCAAGCGACAGCTCACCTAGTTATTGTGATTGTGTTCATAGTTTCCAAATTTCGGCAAGCAGTGCTGCATAGCATGCTACAGGCCCACAGTTCAATTCTTGGCATAAGCGTACGAGGTGGGGGGGGCGCCTGCAGCCCCCCCCCGAGAGTTTCTCATTTGAAAATACTCGCTTTTATATTCATTTGATAATTTGCAAGAATTTCACCACGGGTATGCACCAGTTCGCTCCATTTTAGTGTAAAAACTGCAAAAGCTCCCTCGTGTGGGAGGAGGGGACACCCCCCTCCCACACCCTCCACCCGCTCGGTCGCTTCGCTCCCTCAAGTAGTGGACCAGTGAAATAGGCGACCCCCCCCTCCAGTAAAAGGCTGGCTACGGGCCTGGGCTTCTATATGTAACAAAGATATTTTGTAATTGTTACATGAATTCGTGATTTTACGATAGTTTATAAAATATTGACAATACTGGAACTGAAAAGAAGTATTGTTCTATTTTGAAGTCATTTTAAGTACTGTTTTAAAGATATTTAATTTGATCTTATACCTGAGGGTACTCTTGAGCTGCTATTGCCCTTTTGCCCACCTTCTACAGAAAGCCAATGAGCTAAAAAAGAAAGAAAGATAACAGCAGTGAGTAATAAGTTTCTTGCCAATAGCACTAAGAGGTAAGCAGAAAATTTAGGAGCATATATGATAGCACAGAGAATACATTAGATATGATCATATAATTTCTTATTTTAGTTTGTATACAAGTGGTTTCATGGTAACATAGCTATCTGATAATGGTACGCTGTCACATAAAATACTATTGTGGAACTGATGTAATTTGATAATACTGTGCGTTTAATGGTACAGACCTTTGACATGAGTTGGTGTTAGATGCTTTACTTCGATGGATTCCAAGGCTTCAGTAACTAGGCAGACAGGAGGGTCTTCTGCACAGTACAGATCTACTTCAGGAACGTGGACAAACTTTGCTGATTCCATGTGGCTGTATCCATAAATGGGCTATAGAGAAATGATAGCTATCATTTACGTGAATAAACACTGCATGGATGTGTACACATAAACACTTGTGAAAATTGCTGTACAGGTACACACATGCATGCACTCATGCTCACAAGCATGCACATACAAACTAATGTACAATTATGCAAATATCTCTATAAAGAGGTGGCTTCTTCAAAACAGTCTACTGCATTTATTCATAATTACAAGTTATGATTGCATTAAATTAATAATGCATTTTATATGCATTTCCTCTATGCATTTGCAACACAGTAAGCAATGATACCTTATATACAAACAATCTATCATTCAGTTAAGTATTGCTCACCTCTAGATCAGAATTTTTCAAAGCCTTATTAAAGTCTGTCCCCATTAGTTTTTTCCTCTTCGAGTGCCTCATGTACTGACAACTGCTCTGTAACAATCAATAAAATAAAAACCTGTCAACAACTACAAATAATAGACCATTGAGTCTTGAGACATATACCAGGAGCCTGTTGTCAGAAACAAAATTACTCTTAAAGGCATAATAAGCCCATTGATTATACAATGTTGACAAATGCTAGAGTAACTGGCACCGTGTGTAGTTAATAAGTACATAACCTAATAGATACAATAATGTAACCCAAACACAGGATAGGGCACAGCAATGTAACCCCTATCCTGTGTTTGGGTTACATTATTGTATCTAATAACCTAATAGCCAAATGCGTATTAGTTTGTCCAATATCACTGCTGGTTACATTACAAACAAGACTTGAAATCGGTTGTTGATATGTATCAACGTATCATTTACGTGCAGTAAATGTCATCCAGGAGTCAAGCGATGATGTAAACAGCCAGATGAAATGGAGGTGTCAGCGGTGTAACCCCTGCCACAGACTAAACATGGAAATGGAGTAAAACACACGTACTAATGACGGACGCACGTGGACAGCTATGACAAAAAGTTCCTTATCACGAGCGTACATGTTTACGAAATCACTGATGATAGCATTGCGTACGGCCGAGCATGCGTGCGAAAATGTCCGGTGCACTATAAATCTTTTTATAGTATCCAGCACTTTGTTTCGTATTGTTATGAGGAAATCTGCTACAATTTTTCATTCAGGTAACTTCGCAGCGTTTCTGCATGTCGTCGGTCTAAGAGAAAAAGTTAATGTTAAGACTAATGTTAAGACTAATTTTGTTTCTGGCAAGGGGCCCCTGAATATTATCACAATGTCAGAATAAAGAGATGGTTCTGTGGTTTAGATTGATTGTATCTATTGAGTAATGCGTGTTTGTGTTCGAAAAACTGTATGCTCGTTTCTAAAAGTTATATGAAGAAGTCAGAGGTTTGTGAAAATTTAAGAATACTTGTAGAATCTAAAGGTTGCACTGTTCAGCAGTTGGAATTAAGAATAAAGTAAGCTTTAGAAATAGAAACTTAGATGCTTGTATATGCAGCACCTTGGTTTATATTTTTATATTATCTTGTAATTAACCACTTTAATTTATTTTAAGGGATACTACACCCTAGGATTTTAGGGTATATTACTATTGTAAGTTCATGAATAATAGTATATAGTACCTATAAATTTCTATAATCATGCATTCATATTTGTCATAAAATGGTATAGTGAGTTTCGAAATCTTTATTTTTGACTGCTGACATGACATCCTGTGATTGTGCTGCCACCCTGACGAAGTTGAAGTCGATTTTAAGAAGTCGAGTCCTCTTAAATGAATAAATAAGAAATATCCTTCGCCTGTAGCCTGCAGCCAAAAAGTTGTGATGTGCAACTTTGAAAGTAGATGGGCTGGTAGCCTGGTAGTGGCGCCATCGCCGTTGTTAGCAACGATACAGCCGTTAAGTTTTTTAAATATTTTTTTTTAATATTTCTAATAAATATTGAACAATGAAATTTTTATGTAGCATATTTAATTATTTTAACTGAAAATATGCAAGGAAGCTAGAGTCATGCCTCCTAGCCTAGGAACCTATGATAAAACTAAATCGATATTGCAAATGAAATGGAAAGTAGTAGTAGTACTAGTACTAGTGCTGAGAGTGTCTATGTCCCCCAGGGTACTGCCGGAACGTACCCTGGGTATGGTCCAGTATACCAACGTACCCTGGTACTATCTAATATGCCGGACCGTACCTCGCCTACTCCACTAACGTCAACGAGTCGCCTACGCCTACTCCCTAACCCTAACCCAACCCTAACCCCAACCATATCAAATAGTTACCAGGATACGTTTCGGTATACCGGACCGTACCCAGGGTACGTTCCGGCAGTAACCTGGGGGACATAGACCCTATGAGCAGTACTAGTAGTAGTAGTAATGTAATGGTGCCGTAGGCGTAGTAATTAATATTGTCTATTGATGAAGGACGTGGACATTCGGCCGACATCGGACACCTGTTCGTATGCGCTATTCGTCCGAGCAGTTGTTGCACATGCGCTGTTCATGTTGTATTACATAAATGTAATGTAATGCTAGTCTAGGGAGGAGCATACTCTCTAACCTTAACCCTAACCCTAAACCTAATCCTAACCTCAACCTAACACTAACAATAAACCGACTCGGTTCGCTTATATGCTCGAGTGATAGTACCAAACACTATCTATGGTATATAACCACATTCGCAACGCATGTATGCAGGGGCGTCACAGCCGTAGGGCTGCCGAAGCAAAACGCTACGGGCCCCCAGCCTTAAGAGCAAAAAATCATAAATCTAAAGGGTAAATAGCATTTTAGAGCGTCTAGATTTAAAAATTGTCTGGGGGGAGACCCCCCAGACCGCCCTTCACACTTCCTACCTCCGGCACTCGTGCCGTGCGCCTGCGGCATGCTACGTAAACAGCGCATGCGCAACAACTGCTCGAACGAATAGCACATACGAACAGGTGTCCGATTCTCAGACGAATATCCAAGTCGATTTATGAATACAGAATTATAATAGGCCCTTTCTTAATTTCTATAGAGTACCGAGTATCGAGTAGAGACTATACTCTATAGTATCGAGTTTCTTAAAAATTATTTATGCAGCTTATAAATTATATAGGGATTAAAATAGTATTCGATTACTAAGAGTTACTGGAGCTAAATTTAATGTCAATGTAATCTTACTTGCGTTATTTCTCGTAGCCTGTAGCTGGAATCTTCGGCCAAAAGATCGGCAATGCCATCAGGTAAATCAGAAATACCAACCATTTCAGCAAATAATTTTACAGTTTGTGCAGAAACTTGTGAATAGGACTTCTCGTCTACTGCTTTCCTTTCTTCATTCATGGCTTCTATACAGCTGAAACACGAATTATACTTATCAACATTATTTTTGAAAAATACGTGGGCGCTACCATATTTAAACAAGTGAGCAGCCCATATCACGATAAGCTTCACTCTGCTGACTGAACATAGATACTAACCCAAGACTATACTACTTGGGTTAGTAT